CACGGCTCATCTTCACAACTGCTCTGAGATGCTTCTCGGTGATTGTAACCCGCTCCAAATTCTCCTCGTGGGCCTCATTCTCGGCCAGAGCGAGGGCTGTTTGCATGGCATTGCGGATCTCTCGCCCATTCCACTTGAGGCTACGAACATCCTGGCTATCCCACACAAAGTCGCGAGCCGCACCAGAGACATGGATCAACCCGTTTGAATCTCGGCTCAAGCGATCAAAGTTATGAGTCCAGATGCGCTCACAGTCCTCGTGAGTAAGACTCTTGTAATGCAATGCGACATGAATACGGCTGAGGAATGCGGTATCAAACGACTGAACACGATTGGTCGTCAGGAAGAGAACTCCACGATAGTACTCGAGGGCCCGGAGAAACACAGATACAAGCCCGTTCCGGGTAATATCCTTAGAGCGACGGCGCTCGAGGTAGATATCCGCTTCATCAAGAAGGACAAGAGCACCATAGCGTTGGCCAAGCTCAAGGAAGTAGCTCAAGTTGGCCTCAACATTGAATGAGTCAACGCTGAGATCACCACTGGTAAGTGAAATAAGGGGCCGATTGGTGAGCTCGGCAACGCATTCAGCGGTGCAAGTCTTTCCAACGCCGGGTGCGCCATGGAGCAGGAAGATTCGGCCTTCTCCTTTGTTCTTCACAAAGTCATTACCCCAAGGGGACAGTTTCCCGTCTCCCAGATCCGCAGCAAACTTTCCAATCAAGGCCTTGACAGTCATCTTAATCTCATCATCAAGAACAAGATACTTGAAAGCTTCCTTGTCCGTCTTCAACTGCTTCAGGTTGGCGATGTTTAAGTGACCCCATCGTCGGTCGCCAAGGAGGAATCCTGGCATAGTCTTGCTGCACACAAGATAGAAGAGGTCGCTATCTGGGGGAGAGTCCTGGGTAGGATCAAGGTCTTCAAATCCATGATACGGACTTTCGGTACTATAGCTTGGGCGATTTGCCATACAGGCATCGCAGCCACATCGCGGGAGATCCTTGGGAAGATGGTCCTTGGAAGGAGGCGCGGTTTCATTGTAAACTGGGATGCGGTGATATCGACCTCCGCGCATGTTATCGGGTCCTTGATTATAGAATGTGTCAAAGCCAGGGGCATCGCAGATAACACGGCCGCACATGAAGCCGGTTGGCCCACGGCATTGTCTGTTGCTCGGCCCGGAATTCACAAGAAGTCCCTCGTAGTCCATGTAAGTTGGCCGCTTCAAGAGCTCCCAATAGAGCTTGCCTAGGGCAATGTTCTTTTCCTTCATTGTCATTCCGCCTTGGGCCTCGAGGTCTTCAGGCCAAAAAGCTGCAGGAATGATGGAAAGGCTCCCGATGGCTTGCTCACCAAGCCAGGGTGAGAGGTTGTAGCTGAACATGAAGCGATTGACTTTTGTACCGTTTGACTCGAGCATCCAGCAATTGATGTTGTACACATCACAGGAGTTGTTTTGTCCCTGTCCCATAGTGACGCTGCTAATGACATATGGGGTCCAGATATCATAGCGCTTTGCGTAGAAGACATCCCCTGGCTTGAGCAGAAGCCAAAAGAGATCAAAGGTGGCCCTAGGGGTAGCAAGTTGATGGCGCTCCTCTTCACGACGAATCTCGTCGCCGAGGTTATCGTCAAGGAACTTGAGGAGAACGTCGATATGCTTTGATGTAGTCGCGGCGCAGTCAGGGTCATGGGCCAATGGTTGATTATCCTTGTAACGGGCGAGCTCCTGTCTATGATGGTAGAGGACTCGGTAAGGAGCATTGATCTTTACAGGCTTGCCGTCAAAGCTGACGTAAGGATAGTAGGCCACTACAGCCTTGAGGGCATTGATAAGGTGATCTGAATGAATGATCATGAAGGGACGGGAAATTTCTGGACCAGGAACTTCGGGATCTTGACCTTCATCTGGGTAGAGATTGTCGTAGCGATAATCAATGTTCTCAAATGCTTCAGTGATCGGCCTGTCTTCCTGGTCTCGAGGACCTCGAGACCGACGGTGGATAGGGATGGGGGATCGGCTCCGGGGCAAGACCTTGGTGATGATCTCAAGAACGGGTTTCTCATCTCCAGTTGCATCATCATCGACAACGAGGTTGATATCGCCATTGAATCCATACGGGGGAACATGCTTGAAAGCGACGGGGCTTTGGCGGCCTATCGTACGGTTAGCTCAACATCAACATAGAGAATACATGGCTGAAAACTGACATTCTATGACATTATTTTGCCAACCGAGATACTTGACCACATGAAGGACATCTGGCACTTTTCCATCGATCTTGAGGATTTCTGTTTTTGGGCAAACCCTGGGCATAGATGCTATATGCGGACTATGTCTATATCTTGGCCTGGACCTTGGGGGGATGTCCTCGAAGCTCACGATGGAGCTGGTGTCATCGCCATCGATGACGTTGACTTCACGAGGCTGAGGAGTATCCATGATGATTCTGAAGAACAAACAAACTTGGAGAGAGACAAGAAAGACACAGGAATCAAGAGACAGTTATGTCAAGAGGGTCTGAAGGTGAGAGAATGAGCCGACTAGGAAAGAAAAGGTGACCATCCTGTCTACTTTATAGAGCAATTGACAAAGCTGTGTAAGCTGAGACTGGCCTATCACGAAATTGAGAGACAGTTCACCCAATCAAGAAGTTTCGCCATCATTGGCTATGGTACCAGTCAAGGCAGCAACGCCTAGTTTCAAGCCCCGTGCTGTTTGCCTTGAGCAAGTGTAACACAGTTCTGGAGTAGCCTATAGAGAGGCAAGAAACCCTAGGACATCAATCCCAGATGATGGAAAGAATGAGGCAAGTTTGCTTAAATTACCAAGCTTAGGGGGGCCTCTGACGAGTTTATTTTGGCATCCTCTCTCAATATCTACCTATTTTCCTGCTCCCTGGGTTTAGCACTTGCAGTGATGTGGAGATACTGGGCATGCCAGCTGCAGCACAGCCCTACGCAGCCTTAAACGGCTTTGCTAGAGGTCAAAAGTGGATCTGTCGTTTGATGTGTGGGGATTTATAGCGTGAAGCTATTGTGAGGGTAATGAGGGTACATAAGCTCCCAGATCATTACTCCACCAAACAGCTCATTTACTCTAGGGACTATTTAGTAGACCTTGAGACGATTGGGCGTTTTTCGCACCTTGACCTGAGGTCGCTGTCCCAGTTCACACCGATATTTATTTCTGAAATAAGCAAATCGCTTTCGACTCATTGAGAAAAGAATCACCTCTCAATTCTTGGTTACGTGCAGAAGTAGGCTACCATCCACGAGGTTGCACCGCCTTCCAAAATGCCCCGCAGTAAGCCTTGGGCTACCTTACTTATGCAGCCAACCATCGGAACTAGTCCTCTGTGTTCCCGCAGGCCCATCTGGATCCGAGCAAGCCAGTAGAGAGCGCTCAGTACCTCTCCTGGTATGCCCCCGTCTGAGGTTGATAACTTGACATGTATGTGATCACTCTGCGGACCAATTCATCGAGAGTGGCTGCAAATTGAGCGTCAGACCCCTGAGTCAATCCCTGATTAACTATTGCGCGAACTAGAGCGGCGAAGTGTCGGCGATAACCTTTCTCGATCTCAATGTCTGCCAACTGTTGTTCACTGGGCCCTCTCGTGAGTATGATCAAAGGTGAGCGTGGAAGCTCGTCCTGGTCGGTGGTTTCAGTGTGACCGTAAGGCTGTAACAGCTCATACGAAGAGCAGTTGTTCTGTGCAATGTACTTCTCAAGGGGAAGCAGAATATCCCGGAAGCCATACTGACAGCCTGTGACGTCGATCAGCCATCGTTCCCCGGATGAGTCCAACGTAGCTTCAATAATGATATGGAACTTCCTGTCTGTCATGATGCCATCAGGGGGATGAAATTTGATAGTGAGGGGAGGATTCTGAATCTCAACGACGGCGACATCCATTCGAGAGACAATTCCTAATCAATAATTGTTAGCAGGATGACCCCTGGATCCCAATAAACGGCCTGACCTACCGGCCAAGAGACCCCTGGCCATCGGACCAAGTAGAGAAATCGACATGGTGCACTGGTTTACTAGAAGAGCAGCTTGTTTGTGTTCTTCAATACTCGTGAGGTGGCTCGGGAACGGATGGCGCTCAATTCTGTTCGGTTTGTGTGTGAGGACTAGAGTTCCGTTGTCCTTGTCGTGTGAGATTCTTGTCACATGAATGTCGTATACAACCTCCTTGTACGCCAAAAGTGCTGCTTTGAGTAGCTTTGCTGTACGTAAAAGAGTTTTGCGTCGTTGCAGGTTGTAGCAAGACTCTTGATGAGTTGGTTCGTGAGCTGCCCGGCATTCAGGGCTGCACCAGAAGGTAGTGACAGCATCTCCGTCGTCGTATTCTGGAGCTCCCACACAATGAGAGCACCCCACGGTTGAAGCCTTGCCACAGTGAGCACAACTGCCCATTTTTGAGTGCTTGGTAGAGGATGCTTCAGGTTGATGAAGTTGGCAATTGTTGTGTATGTGAAAGTTTGAAAGGAGAAGTGCAGCGAGAACGTGAATCCCGAAGAATAAGTAACTCCCTGAGCTCCTGGTTTGGCTTGATCTCTTGCCAAGTGCTAATGTAGTTATTGAACAAGCACAATAAGAGCACAATAAGGAGGCATGCCTAGACCTAGTAGGTCCTTACCTGAGTTATGCGCAGAGTGAACATTGAACCTCTACTTATACACAAAGCAGACGTGCCAGCAGCGGGTGACTACCTTAGCAGAAGGCACCAACCACTCTCGTTTGATACGGGCCGGAACAAACAATTTCAACGTTTGCGCTCTTTCAGAAACGAGTCAGTCACGCAAAAATTATTGTCAGCTCACTGCTATTCATTATGCCAAATGATTCTATACGGCAGAATTTCCACCCTATTACGCCGTCCAACTTGTCCAAAACTCCACCACTTTTAGTACAGAGGCAAGGGAGACACAAGAGAGCCCCAATCAGAGAACCCCAAGTTCCTTCAATCAACTAGTGACAGAACTATTCAGTTCCCACCGTTCCTTGCGTTGGAGGTGACGTTGCTGGCGTGCGCGAGCAGAAACTTACAACAGGTCAATGTCAGCTTGCACGCCTTCGTCCATCCGTCATCTTGCGCAATGCCGAGTTTGATGCTGACATCCCCAATCTTGTCGCCGTCAATCTTATATGGCAAGCTAAGAGGTGTACCAGTTGCTTCTGTTTGCCTATGCACATACGCGCCCAGCTGTCGCACAAGCTCCAAAAACCCAACCATGGCGTTATCAAAGCGTCGGTGCATGAAGGTTAATCCTAGAGGCATATCTCCAGAGCTGTACAACTCGAGTACATGCTTCTTTGGGGGGGCATTGACAGCACGACTGCCTATTCGACTGGAAGAAGGGCTTGGTACTTCGTATCGGATGATTCTTGAGGTGCTTCCCATAGGCTGCGGGTCATATCCATCAAATCTGTAGGAAAGTTTGTCCGCAACAGTCACCAAGAGTAGCAGCGCGTGTCCCCATGCGGCGTTGATTTCTGGCCAATCTACCGGTTTGTTGGAGAGACGGCCAAGCCGAAGACCGTTGATCGTCGCAAAGCTCCCATCGTGGCTGATACAAAAGGTGTCATTATATACGTTAGATCGCTGCAGCTTTTCTAGGAGCTGGGAGTCGTTGCTGTACTTGGCGTTGATGCTGTCCTTTTCCGCCTGGAATTCACACATCTTGGTGGCAAACTCGTTTCGTTCCCTCCAGAACTTCTCCTCCTCTTTGTCTAGTTGTCGCGACTCCTCCTCAAGAGCTACAAGTTCCTCATCTAAGGAAGTCTTTTCCGACTCCAGCTTTTTCAGCTCTTCCATAGCTGTTGCTCTGTCCTGCTCAGCTTTTCTCAGCGCTTCCTCTTGAGCTTTCATATCTTCTTCGCTTGGCTTGTTTGCTTTCGCCTCCTTCAGGTGTTTAACATAGGCGTCTCTTTCGCGTGAAGCAACCTCTAGCTTCTTCTGTAGGCCCTCAACAAGCATTTCCGTACATTCAACGCAGATAGGGTGGTCGATATCGGATCGCGCAGATAGAATTTCGAAAAGTCGGTTGACCCTATCCATCTCGTTTCCAACTGGCGCGTCGACGTTATCCCCATTACTTCTGGCAGAGCTGGCGCGGCGCAGTGGTGTTGGCATAGCGGGAGACTCTGTAGGCTGACTCGGGTGAGTCATTTGGGACTCTGACAACAAAACAAAAGACATAGAGGAATCGCGGGGATGCCCTCCATGGTTGCGCTTGAACGTCGGTGGCCCGGTATTTCTTGAAACTGTTTCGTATAGAGACTTGCGCGCTTGCTCTTGTGGTTGCGTAATCGGTGGGCTCGTCACAGTTGATTTCTTGAGGGTCTGGGGAGATGTAGATGCTGGAGAGCAAGGTCAGATACATGCGCAGAAAAAGGATCAGGCCACATACAAACGAGCACATCGTAGGCGGCTGGGTTGAGGTCCTCGAGGGATCCGTCCAGCCTAAGAGGCTGGCGGCATTTCTGGCAGTTCATACTTGGGTTAACGAGCAGGCATGGTTCGAGACCGGCTGCTGGACGAATGCGCTGTACAGAGCTTTGAAGAAAGCGTGCCGTGTCGTTGGTGGGAAAGGCAGAGAAAGTAAAGAAGTGACAAAGTAAAGTGTGGTGGATGTCTTAGCGGTGACGTCGGGTTATGTTTAGCACTGGGAGCCATGAGCCAATGCGCAGTTGATCACAGGGTACGGAATCATAGGGAGAAACTTAGAATACCAAAGCTACTAATAACTTCATTGCACAACAAGTAAAAAAAAAAAGCTAACTGCAAATAAAGAGCTATCACAACTAAGCCTGGCTTTCATATTATTTCATAAGGTCACATGAAGCTATCAAAGGTCGATAGCGTCCATATGAGGATGGACTGTATGGAGTACGGAGTAGCCAGGACTTAACCCCGCCAAATTGATCGATAAGATCCACATGGATCCAAGCACTTTACGCGTCACGGCGCGTCTAGACCCTTCAGTTGCTCCTCCAACGAGACATCGTCATCAAAGAATTCAGGAGCCATCAAATGGAGGGCTACCATGCATCCTCATAAAGAATATGTCACCAAATCATGCATGATTTAATGCCGACAAAGATTCCTCAGGGCTTGTTACGATCATATGGAGCCACCGACAAAGAAAAGGCGACGGGGCTCTTCACCTCATAAAGAGGTTCAAGATGAAAGTGACGATGACGAACTTGCCTCACATCCTCAAGAGATTAGGATGCGTCGAGACCCTGATATTCAGCTTGCGCTCAAGCGGGCAAATGCTGACCATAAACTGCAAGCCACGATGGCTCATATTATCGAAAAATACAGCCGGGACTTTGAGGGTATTGGCGACGAAATCGACATGAACACTGGAGAAATTGTGGTTAACAACGGTCATTTGCGTAACATGAGAGATGAGGGAGATGTTGAAGGACTATGGATGGAGGGCGACAGTAACATCGACGAAGATGAAGGAGTTCTGCTCGAGGACCTTACGGATGGATATTCCGATAGCGAAGAACCAGTCAAACGAGTGCAGCATTCTCAGAGCGACAATCAGAACAACCAAGAACCAACGTTTGCAGAACAAGGCGCGCCGACAAGCCAAAGGACTCACAGCGAAGTGTCTCAAGAAGCACTACAAACTGATATAGATACGATCATGGATCCCTCACAAAATAATAACGCCGTGTTGCAAACCAGCGAATCTCACTTTGGTCCTCCATCCTATGGACAAGGTTCGTCAGTTGGGTTCGGGCCAACTCCAGGATTTGGGCCCTGGGGAGGAATGTACGGGTTTCCCATGCAAGCCTGGGGTCGGGACGATATTCCTCCATATTTTAACATGCCACCGAGTATGCCAGGACCTTGGTTTACCGGAGGCAGATACGACTTCCCTTCTCACAACGGACAGACGTCGATTTGGGGTCGTAACCAGGCCAAGAAGACAAAGCGGGCTGGCTCTATGAAAGCATCCTCCAAGCAGGCGATGTGCAGACACCCCAGCAGCTCTCGTACGGAAGAGGGGGCAGTTGCAGACGACCATCACAAATCCACGTCTGAGGAACAGCCACGCGATAATCAGGAAGATCTCGCCCCTGATAGAACGATAAATGATACCGACGAAGACGATGATTTGATGTTCTCTGAGACTACTGAGGTAGCGTCGACCCCTGAGGCAAGTCTTGTCCTCCCATCAAAAGAATCACCCGCGAAGGGCGAGGTTCATCGGCATTCACAAGGGGCACTGGAAGAAACCAATGGAAATGCTGTGAAAGTGCCCCAGCAGAACGACGAAGAAGAAAATTCTGGTCGGAGACGGTCTGGCCGAGCGAGGAAACAAACTGAGTATATGGGCAAGATCTCATGGGACGACGCCAAAGAATGGCAGAAATCAGGCCAGAGGTTGAGAGTGGAGCTATACAAGGCTGATCCAGCCATTCGCAAAGACTTCGAGAGCGTTGATCATGTTGGTGATGAGTGTGCCTCGTCCTCGGAGGAGCCTCAAGATAATGCGCTGGGAACAATAGCCCTCGAAAGGGGGATAACCTCCCAAAGGCAGGTTATACCAGATTCACAGGACACCGCGACTCCTTTCAATAGCAGTGCCCCTGAGGCACCGGAGCGCAAGGTGGTAAACGACAAACTCTATGCTTCTGATGTACCTCCCGTTCCTAGCATGGAGCTTTCAGACGACGAAGCTCCTCTTGTTCTTTCGAGGATCCGAGCACCAAAACGCCATCTAGAAACCCGAAAGCCTTTATCGCCACTCGTGCCAACAAATGATCGAATTCGAAGCGCAGATCTCATTGTCCATGTTGCGAGGTCACCAAAGCCCAACCAAAGAGCAGCGCCCATAGTTGAGTCTACAGTTGGGGATATGCAGGACCAGACTATAGAGCCTCTTAAGCGCAAGCGGGGAAGACCCAAAGGCTCAACCCGCAAGGCTCAAAACAATAATACTGTTTCCAGTACGAAGGGCATAACAAGGGGCCCCACGGCGCTTCAACACCATGATACTGGAGCGCCAAAGAAGCCAGATCCTGCGAATCCCGATATTGAAACTGAGTTCAAAGATCACTCGACCTACGGTACGAGGATCCATGGTTGTCCGGATCGCGATGAAGAAACCCTAACAAAATCGGATAATGATGATACAGAGACTGAAGAACGTCCCATGACACATCATCTAACGAGCGAACTCAAGTGGCTTCTCAAGACAAAACCCAAGAGCCCAGTGTCTTACAGACCACAAGGTACAACTTCAGACGAAACCATTAAGCTTCGGCGGTCCCGGGAAAGGCTCAAAAAGTCCAGTAACAGCACATACAAATCAACAGAACTCGATGAGGATGTTTCAGATGACCAAGAGGAACTACCAGTACCTCTTACGGCATCCGGGCTATTGCAGGAACGAAACACATTTCTGGATGGGCCTATGGGGGCACCGGGGACCGTTATAACCGTCAGAAACGAGCAATCATCTACCGCTAGTCCTTCCTCGCCCATCCATGTTGAAGAACCATCCAACTATAGCGATCTAACAGATGAGAGTGGGCCTCGTCTTAATGACAACTCGTCTGATTATGCGCCTCCTCAAGACGATGCTGTACATGATGACGAATCTCTCCCCGAATTGCCTCGAGATACCACGGTTCAAGGGGTATCGACACCACGGAAGCCGAAAGATACCAGGACTCCCTTCACAGAACCCCCTTCAAGCTCTCAAAAACCACACACCCCTCGTCATGCTTCCATTCGTACTACTCGTGCACCATCATCACGCCGATCCCTCCTCTCATTTGTGTCGGATTCGGAATCAGACACCGGTGAGTCTCGGGATGAGTTAGCGCGCAGAGTCAAATCAACATCAAAGACAGCAAGCGTCCGTCCTTCAACGAAGAGGATTTGGCGAGCAAGTGCCCTTACCAGAGAAGTCCAACGGACACCCAGTAGAAAGCGTTTCCATGAGATGTCCAGTCCTATCAACACTGTCAAGACACCGGGGGGCACGGTACGAACCTGCGGTATAGATGGTTATCAATGTGGCCGAGACTTTTGCTTCTCTTGTATATAAATGGCTGTTCTGGTCTCGCAGATTACTTGGTAGAAAAGACCATAGAAGATAAAACGTTGTAGGGATCAATATACGACAAGCAAACATAGCGCTGTGGTTTCATTTGATGCTTACGCTACTCGAGAAAAGCTGACCCAAAAGCATGAAGACGTCCAACTACAAAGCTAATAAAAAAAAGGTTAGGAGTGTTGGTGATTAGATTAGCCCTCGATCTCAACCTGCCATAACCCCCAGAACCTAGAACGCCGAAACCACATTGTTCTCATTCCACATCGCCCCTGTAACAACATCCGAGATGATGCGGCATGTCGCGCGAGCTTCTCCTCACTACACCGAACCGTCTGAATCATACGTCATGCTAAGGCTGTAGGATATTCTCAATACAGCCCCATTCTCATGAAATCCATCTCACAGAGCCACTGAGTCGGCGCGCTTTCACGGCGGAAAGGATCGAGACGGATCCGGCTGAGATATTCTCTTCCCAATACAGGTGTATCCTATCAGGGATGGAGAACCGACAAAGGAAAGCAGTGACCGCCAGTCCAGGGTATCATGGTTAAGGGTTGCCACGAGATGGATCGCCAGAGATGATGAGTGTTGGAGAGCTACGACTCCGAGCCCTCTCAAGATTTGTTGGCAGCGCCATTAGCAGCTGCAAGGTGTTGCTTGAAAACCTCGGGATCACGGACGGGGTTGAAGTAGGGGTGCGCTTGCGCCTCTTTAGCGGTCAAACGCTCCTATACAATTGTTAGATCAGACAGGAGATGTTGGAGCTATGAACAAACCTGGTGGTCGTATCGCAGTAGCTTATCAAGGAAATCGATGGCCTCATTAGAAACAAATCGCTGATTTTCCGAGGTGACGAAGCTATGCCATGGCTTCTTCTGGAATCGTCCCAGAATGTCGTCATATTGTGCATCCAGTTCGATTTCGTACTTATCAATGTAGTCAAACAGATCATCAGTACCAAGAACCTTTGCAATCTTCACAAGCTGGTCAGAGTTACTGTTGCCATGGAAGAAAGGCTCCTTTCGGAAGATCATGGAAGCGAACATAGCTCCCAGGCTCCACATGTCGAGACTGTAATCGTACTCCTGGAAATCGACCAAAAGTTCTGGACCCTTAAAATAGCGAGAGGCCACACGAACGTTGTATTCGGTACCGGGGTGATAAAATTCGGCCAGGCCCCAATCGATGAGACGCAACTGAAAACAGTCAGTAAGCTCTACGTCAGAGGTATGATGCCAGGTTGACCAACCTTTCGGTTCTCATGATCGATCATAACGTTATGAGGCTTAACATCTCGATGCATAATACCCTTGCTGTGGCAGAAGTCCAAAGCCTTGAGGAGCTCAAAGATGTAAAACCGAACATCGATGTCATTGAACTTGGGGTAGAGGCTTCGGAAATCGGTATTGTTGACGTGCTCGAAAATGAGGGACGGCGTCTTACTCTATTTGCCGTTGGTCAGTTCCATATTGCGATGGACATTGAGAAGGTTGGCACCAACCTGCGCATCCCGAACAACGTCAAGCAAGGCAACAACATTGGGACCTCCGGCCAAATTCTGGAGGATCTTGATCTCGCGCTTGATCTTCTTCTTCTTAACGGGCTTTAGGACCTTGACGACGCATTTCTGGTAGTTGACGACATTGATGCCTTCGAAGACTTCAGAGTACTTTCCACGACCTACAGAGGCACAAGGGGTCAATAACCAAGCAACGAAATGGACGACGACGACATACCGATCTTTCTGACGACCTCGTAGTTTTCTAGGGCACCCCAGCCTACATAGTTATCAGCTTTGTTGTCAAGGGAGTTCTCACGTGGGGTGAGGGCATACTGATGTTAACACTGTCGTAGTCCCAGTAACTGCGGGGCATGCTCTGGTTGACATCGGCGTAGACGCGCGCCATGATGAGAGCGAGACCGTCGCAGGGAGGCGACGCTGGCGGTGGAAGAAGATGGTGTCGCGGGGCGTCGATGACGGACGGAGCGATAGAGATGCTGAAGATGAGAGGTTAAGGCCGAGGTACTCGTATATCTAATCTAGCCCAACCCAAGGTCTCTCTAGTCTAAGAGGCTGAAGAGGAGAGGCTGGACCTGCTTTGACTTGGTTTGCAAAATCAAGGTGGGATGGCATTTCAGGTCGGGTCCAGCCCAGCCCAGATTTGCCCCGTTATTTTGGCGGGCGGGCTGGACTGTGATTCGCTGTGGCGCTTATCGGCCGCTCCGCGATAACACTGTCGAATGGGCACGAGTACATCCAAATCCATCCCAAGGCAAATAGACAGTGGCCTGTGGAGGCGCCATGGCTGTTTCTCGCATTCACTTCTTATTGACTATGGACTATGGACTACTAACCTATACAGTCTATCCAAGGCCAAAGGGCTAAGTCTATTAATCAGTGTTCTTTAATTAACATCTTGTCACCATCTAAGCAAATGTCATTATTTTATGCTCAAGGAAACTGAGTCTAAGGTAGGTCGATATTATTTGTGAACCCATCTCCTAGAGTTATGTTGTTCGCGAATTTACCTATTTCCATTTCTTCTAAGACCAGATTACAATATGAATTCAATATTGGCACTCAACAAACACGCGTGCATCACGAACAGGCCTCGAACAAAATACATGGCTTGCTATCTACCGGAGACAAAGCGCCTACCTCATCTGTTAATTGGTCGCCGAAAGACATATAATATATACAAGCTGAGTTGTGAAACTTGTCAAACTGGCCCAATTCACCGCATGCTACACCACAATGATGGTTAGCATCATAAACAAACTGCTTGCTAGGAAGAACACGAATAAAAGTCTCATTTCTCAGAGAGAAGATTAATTGCTCGGCATTTCAGGGCTGTAGAGGTGTCAATATCAGCGGGAGCCGATACTTCGTCCACCTCCAGCCCCGATCCGACTAAGGATGACGATACAAGGGTTTTCATCATAATGAGGTTCAAACACACTGTAGGCAGAATCAACTCACAATCGAAATTTCTTGGTGGGCAACGTTCGAAAGTCCAAAAGCAGTATTCCCCGTACATCTAGGGAACATGCTCAGTCGTACTCTAGCGAGTCCAAGCCCTTGTCCACAACGTCCCAGGTTCGTTTGCGCAAGTCTGGTTTCGGTTCGGGGCGAGGGCGCTGAAGACCTTTCTTCTTCTTCCGTTTCTTATTACTCTGGAAAGAAGTGGGTAATGGGGGAGTCGTGGTTTTAGTTTGCGTGGAGATATGGGTAGCATCACTCAAATCCATGACCTCGCTCGATGGCGCTGTTTCTTTTGAACGCAGATGTTTCGCTCTTTCTTTCTCTTTGCGCAGAGTTTCGAGTTCTGAATGTCGAAATATCTCGATTTGCGCATCCGTCAAGGTCCTTTTCACACCATCCGGATAATAGCCCAGGCTATCGTCATCCTCCTCCCAGGTGTCATCGACGGCCTCATCTTGAGTTTGATCCTGGGAGGGCGAGTCTAGGAATTCAGATCCGAAGGCGGCGACGGCTGTGTGCGAGAAATGGGATTCGTGGAAAGCAACAAGATCACCCTAGAAATGTCAGTACAGTATCAAACTGCGTGTATTTGGGTAACGTACGGTGAAAATGTTCGGTATTACATGCGCATTTGTTGTACTTCCATTATTTGATTGCGGCATGTCTTGGTTTTTTAATGCGAGATCAGGCATGATTTGCGATTTGGCGAGATTGAGGGAGGACGCGTCCAGGCCGAAATTATGTCACGTGCCAATGCACCAACATCAATTTGATCCGGTGTGAAAGAGATAAATATGTGCTGCAGCCTGGCTAGCGTTTTGGTAAGCAAAGTATGTTGTGTGAAGACAGTCCAAAAGTTTGATGATGGAGCCGGTTGAAGCTTCCGCCATCAACTCGGAGCCCATAGATAGCTCACTGGGACTTGAGAAGTGCCAGAGCACTCTCAAAGGCCCTCACAACTTGATCATCTGTAAAGCGTCAATATTTGGTCCAAGGGTGGGATAAAAAGCACGTCGGGCTCACAATGCTGTTGTTTCCGTTCCATTTTGTCTTCAGCGAGATTCACAAAGCGTCGTCGTGTTTGCAGGCGCTTCGCTGCCCGCTCATCATCATGCGTAGACGCAGACGCAGCCCAGATTTTGAAGTACTCCCCAAACGTTAGTTTCATCAGTCTGCATCATTGCTCAAAAGAACTCACCTTTGAGAGAGCATCCGCCTCCTTCAGGATCTCCCGCTCCCGCTCATCTGCCTCTTGCAAAGCAGCCTCATAACGCGCTTCAAACTCATCCCAGTTAAATGGTTCTAAAACACCAGGGGTATCTGGCGGATCAGAATTGTTGGGTTGTCGATCATCTTGAGGTTCGGGTGTCCTTCTATTAGCGTGCGGGTGTCTCTGGATGCTGCTCATGTTTGATTCCTCAGGAGCAGGGACAGTGGGTTTGATATCGTCTTGACTGTGACGATTCTCGCCGTCTTGTTGTAGTGGAAGTGCTGTATCCATGTTGGGCATTTCGCGTTCAATCGCCAGGGGTGTTGTCGGCCAAGCAACAGGGGTGTCTGTTAGGAACGTGCAGCACTTTCGAGTGAGCAGCCTGATCAACTGTCTTGAATCTTGTATTCCACAAAGTGGTGATTGCACGGGCTGTCAAAGCTTACTGAGCTCAGTGAAGGGAGATTATTTCCCGACAAGTAAATGGTGAAGTTAAGGCACTTGAATTAAATATACTTGCTCACTAACAGGAAGTCTTGAAGTGTGGGTGTTCCTGCATCATTTTGGTTGGCTGCCTGTGTGGCTTACGTTCATGCGCCACAACATTGTCACTATCATTGCTCGACTCGTGACTCCCATCTTCAACCTCAAAACCTACAAGTCATCTGGCTTTCACTTTCACTTTCAACCGCTTATCTCGGGCTTACGAAGATGCGCCCCGCCTCTCCTGTTTTATTACCGGAAGGCTGAACGTGCTTCCCTTGGTCTTCTTTGATCAACAGATAGCAACAACTGCCTTAACGCAAGTGGCAAAGATACAAAGCCAGTATGGACTGCGATATCTGTCATCGCATTCATGACCCAGAGCGTCTTCCTTTTCTCTGCACCGTGGACGCCAGGAACTCTCTTCTTGATGGCCGCATAAGCAATGTGGAACTTCTCCTGCAAAATGAGAGTCTCCAAAACGAAATAAACGAACTATTAGATGAGACGAGCACCCCAAACAAGTTTCATAGAGAATCACTAAAGGCGCAACAACGAACGGCTGAGGTTAGGACGACCCAGATTTTGGCCGCTGCCCATAAGCTCAGAAATGACATCAAAGCTGCCAGAGAGGAGATCCAGGCCCGGAAAGCTGCGCTCTCTCGTCGCAAGTCGGATATTGCAGCTGTATCTGGCGGCCTTGTTGAGCGCAGAGTGAAACAGCAAAAGGACATAGAAACGGACATTGGAAGACTCAAGTATAAGTGGTCTCGCAGCGCTGGCGATATGGCTCGTACACGATCTTTTCTTTGCATGGAGGCAGCCCGACTATATGGACTTGAACGTGTTAAAGAAGGCTCTACTGGCAAATATGAGTATTACCTTGGCGGAATCCCCGTTGTTGATTTGGCCACAATGAACTGTAGGCTCTCCCGCGACTATTTCGACTATGCACTAACTCCTTTATAGCATCAACACCGGAGATGATTTCGACATCTCTCAGCCACATTTGTCATATCCTTATGCTCGTATCACACTATCTTTCAATCCGTCTGCCTGCGGCAATTACCCTTCCTCATCGCGACTACCCACGGCCCACTATCTTCAATCTCTCTGCCTCTTACAGATCTGGGGACTCAGTATTTCCTAGTCAGGCAGGAGTAGGGAATCCTTCTCACTCCGGAGACACAGAGTCCCAGCGTCTTTCACGTCCAAGGCCTCTTTTTATTGACAAGCCACCAGCGCTGTTGGCCAAGGAAGATCCAGCAACGTTCTCATATTTCATAGAAGGTGTGACTCTGCTCGCCTACAACATCGCCTGGGCTTGCAGTACACAAGGTGTTTCGATAGGTGATAGGACTCACTTTGAGGACATTTGCAATATGGGCCGCAATTTACACGATCTCCTCACAAACCACCAAAATGTTGGTGGAAACATCTATCCTTCTTCATCTAACAAAAAGGACCCGATCGCATCTAAGAATGATGCTGATACCCATGCCAGCCGCATGGGACAATATTCCCACGGCACAACTTTCTACTACCTCGGCGGAGCTGAAGGCACCGAGTTCAGTAAGACGTTCAAGCTTCCCGGTCCGATCAAATTGGCCGACAAGCTGAAGAAGAAGCTGCTCAGTGAGGCACCTGCTCCTGACTGGGAAGTTCTGGATGATGATGCTTGGAAAGTTGAAGAGGTTGTTGATACGAATCAGCCCAGCAAGGACTTGCTAGGTAGCGATAAGAATTCTCCGCGTCGGGGAACAAGTGGGTGGATGAAGGTCAAGAATAGGTAGATTCGTTCTGTCATAACTTTTTAGTATGCTGTAAAGACAATAGAAGTGAATATGAAAATGAAAACTAAGCATCAAGTTACTTACTTACTACCTAGGGTATGTTACTGGTGTGTTCTAGTAGAATATAAAATAAAGCTTTAAGAACAAGAAGTAGCAAAAAGTGTGGTTCCGCCCGGGATCGAACCGGGGACCTTCTCGGTGTTAACGAGATGCCATAACCAACTAGACCACGGAACCGTGCTACTTAGCTTATACCAAGAAGTCTGCGAGACCAAGCTCATGTTACACACATTTGCCAGGTCTATTCTCATGCTCTAGGGTAGCATGAGGTTTAATTTCAAAGCTGGGGTACAAGAACAGAGTAAAGTGGTTTATATGTAGGTACCTTATGGGTAGTCTTCTTAAGTAAACTGAGGTATCTTACGTACCCATAGGGCATGTACATACTATAGTGGCGCCGCATTGATTACGAACAAACATTGCAGTCCATGCTTTAGGTTTAACGCGGAAATCATGCGGGATACTGGATTGATAAGAGATCAAAATAAACAATAACCAAAAAAGCATTCATCATATTGATACATTTATTCATGTAGTTTTACATTGAGTCATGCAGCTAGGGAGGTATGCCATAGTCTGCTTGTCATAATATACAGGATTGTACAACTTGCTTCCCTGCCTCGCCGTTTTATTTCCCAGATTTCCCAAACAAAGATGCAATGTAATCTCCAAATGTAGAGGTTCCTTCTGCCTGCCTCTGTTTCCTCTGCTCCGCCTGTGTATCCCAAATCTTCTGAACGCTGCCGGCAACCTCAGCCTTGGCCTGGAGATCAGCACGAAGAGCAGCTTCTTCAACCGCACGTTCCTCAGCCGGTAGTTTGTCAAGCTGTTCTTTCCATTGTTGTTGAAGCTCTTCAGTGGGCATAACCGCATCTTTCTTGGCTTTTGGCAATGTTGTCTGGAAGACCGGCACCGGTAGTCCTTCTGCCTTAGCCTTCTCGACTGCCTCCTCGTGCTTGATCATTCGCTGATAAAGAGTGTCGGCGTGCATTTGGATATCTTCTTCCACCTCATGCGATCTGCCTACCACTGACCCATGTCCCAACGCTCGAAGAAAACGCTAAAACAAAGTTAGAAAATTGCCACGAAGTGTAGCGAATAGAGACAACATACTGATTGCATCATATAACACCTCTCAAATCTTCGAACTTGATGCCTACACATCTGCATTTGGTCCTCCCAGCTTCCGTGCTTCATGCAATTCACCCACTCTTCTTGGTATTCCGCACAGTTTTCCAATGCCGCCTTTCCAATGGCCTCTTTCCGTTCCTTGTATGCCTCCAAGACGCTCATTAGCTTCTCATGATCTGTTGCCGTCTCTGCCTCAATCTCGGCGAGCGGTTGGTAGTTCTTCCAGAGGTGGGCATATCGACCGTCTTGATACAGGCTTGCTGAAGGTACGACTGGCCTTTGTTGTTCTGTAGGTGTCGCCGCTGCATTGGCATTTGGGGGCTGCGGATTTGCTCGGGGGGGATTTGTAGGTTGGTTCGAAGGGTATTTGAGGGGAGATTCTTTCTCCAGAAAGTCGCGAAGGCTTGGATCGAGTTTTGAAAGAGGGTCTGACGACTTGTCGGTACCAAGGACCGAAGATATCCAACCCATGGTAGCAAGTTTGTTTCTCTAAACTGGCGCCAATCTACAGGGAAAGGGTTGAATTGAGTTTGAAGCTGGGCTCAAAGTCGACACTCTAAAAACTATAGCTTCAACTGTGACAAGTGGAGGTAAGAATTTCAGCCATGCACTGTACGAAGCACTGTATACCAACTCCAATTTTTGTAGTTCATCGGGCAAGATTGAATTCATAGGACCCAACGATTCCAGCTGGTTCGACATCATAATATCAAGAACTTGGGTCAGATGGGAATTCCTCATATAATTGTCATAACTATTTCTTTTATTCAGGCGAAATGGCACCTAATCATCAAACTTCAGTTACATCCACCGCGAACTGGAGTCTTCACCACAGACACAACTGCATCACATAGGTCAAACAACAGTTCCTCACGGCCGGCACTGGCATTTTTTGGTCGACGAATAGTCAAAGGTATGAACGTAATCTTGAGATCATGACGACCCTTTTCCTAGCCATATCACGCCCGATTGAACCATCAACCCAAAACAATTGTCTTCGTGAATCCTTTTTTATTCGCGATTGCATCTATAGCACAATCATTTGCAACGCAACATCCGGTGCCCGACCCTTCAGGAGAAACTTCCCATCTCTCCTGATGCTTATCACGCCGAAAAAAATGCCAGAAGAAAGTCCCGACTTAAAACTTGGAGAACTTCTTAACGGACGTGCCAGTTCGGGGCAGGACACGCAGGACGTTGAAGCGGACCTTGAATCATGTTAGCGGCCATCTTTGATACCAGTTCGTTCGCTCTTTAAAAACGTACGGTCTTGCTGAGGGGTCGGCACTGGCCAACGGTGACCTGGTCACCCTCCTGAACACGGAAAGCGGGGGAGACGTGAGCGGCAACGTTCTTGTGTCGCTTCTCGTAACGGGAGTACTTGGGGATGAAATGCAAGTACTCTCGGCGGATGATGATGGTGCGGTGCATCTTGGTGGAAACGACGGTACCGGTCAAGATACGGCCACGGATAGAGACGAGACCGGTGAAAGGGCACTTCTTGTCTGTAGATCCAAATGTTAGTGATGCGCTCAACGTCTTATTTTCTTTGCGCCAATCCCTCCCAGCACGGTCGATTGATGTCGCTGTTTATGTGCCCGTCGTTTGGCAAGATTCGTCTTCGTGTGCTCCTCCAAGTCCCGGAATCTCAAATCTGTCGAACGTACCGATGTAGCTGCCCTCAATGGCGGTCTTGGGGGTTCGGAAACCCAGACCGACGTCCTTGTACCATCGTCGGCCACCCTTGCCCGGTCGGGTGCTCTTGGTCTTGGTCTTCGAGTTCTGGAAGATGTGAGGCTGCTTCTGGAAAGCACGCTCCGACTGGACGGTCAACTCGGTCGCCCTGATGCAAAGGTTAGCGACTCATTCGGCTTCGACATCGTGTATTCATTCGGCTTCGACGTTGCAGTTGGGCTGGACTGTCACTGACATCTTGAATTATCCTTCTCGGGCAGGTACCGTAACGAGATGGCGTGTGGTTGAGCTGGGTGAAGGCGAGGTTGATATTGGCTATGCTAGGCGGAAGGAGAAAATAACACCAATTTTTGCGTGCCTTCCTTAGTAAGGATAATTAGGGCTTGTAATTTTCGCGAGGCAGGTGCCAGACGCCCACGTGACTTCTCAAAAATTGCTGTGGCTCAAGCTCACGTGAGGAGGCGCGAAATATGGCTGTGTTCGAAAGTGGAGCCATCTGAAGGTTGATCAATCTTGGCCCCACTCTCCCCCCTGGCAGCCAAAGTAAACAAACACACGCGAGATAGCCAAGTCACAGCCCACTATCACTTATCGTCGTCGCGCTTCATGTTGGGGTTAGACTTTAGACTCGACAAAACCCGACAGCTCAATTACGCATGATGGCGCCCGCCGATGCAACTTTGCCTGCTACAAGGCGCACGCGAAGATCAATCGGTGCCCATACAGATGTTAATAAGGCGTTCGAGAAAGAAAATGCGACCGTCGACGTCACAAGCTCGTTGGCCGCGAGCCGCAAAAAGTCGAGGAGCAAGAGTTTAGGTCCTGGCGGCTTGGATGCTCTCATGAAAGCCAACGGAAACAGACGAGCTGTGAGACATGATTCTTGTTCACTCTGGAGATACAGAAATAACTAATACACTCAGTCTCTTGCAGTCCCATCAAGAGCCCCGCGCTCAATTCTCAAACAAACCATGCCGATACCTGAAATACCGCCTATGAAGCTGAAACAACCTGATCTAATTGACTTTGGAGAACCGACGAAAGAAGTTTCTACTCCGAATAGCGCGGATAATAGTGGTTCCAGGATCGCAGTCAAGACAGAAGAAGAGCAGCAAGCTGCAGCTCGGGAACGAGAGGAGCGTGAGCGTCGCGATGCTCGTCGCAAATCTCTTGCAAACCGTCGCGTGTCTTTTGCTGCCGAGGCGACTCTACACACATTTCATGAAGTTGAATTTAACCAAGACTCGACGACGTCTACCGACTCAACAAGGCGAAACTCAGCCTTTTCCAATGCCGCAGCTCAGCAAAAGGAACGCGACGATGAAGAGAAGAAGCAGAGACGAAGTTCCGGACTCCCACCAGTCAATTTCCACAACTCCGAAGACGACACTGCGACAACACTCTATAGTTCAGATTCCGAACCTGCAGATGCAGTCGAAGAGGTTGCCGATATTGAGGAAGATGGTGACGATGATAGCAGCGAATCCGACGATGGAACTATGATGACTGTTGATGATGTGACCGGAACAACAGCTGCTTCAGATCGATCAGTTGATTCCGATGGAGAGTCATCCACACTAGATGAAGCCCTGAGACTGGCTGCGCGAAGAGCTGGCAATCAACAACTCCAAGATGAAGAAGACGACGACATTGACGAGGACGAAGAATATATCCCCATGTTTGGATGGGGCAAGGAGAATAAGAATAACATTGCTGCACAAGATCAAGAAAATCTACCACCTCCGTCTCATACTCACCAAGCTGAAGCAGTGCAAGATACGGAGGACGCTACCGGAACCAACATGAGTATGGACATGGACATGGACATGGGCATGGATATGGACATGACACGCGCAGTCGGCGGTATCCTTAAACCCCAGCCCGCACAGCAGTATCATCCCGATGAGGATATGTCTATGGACGTAACTCGTGTAATAGGGGGCATTATCAAACCCCAACACCCACAAGAACATAATCCGGATGAAGATATGTCTATGGATGTTACGCGTGCATTTGGTGGTATTGTCAGCCAACCCCAGAGAACCAGCGCTGACAATGCCGATGAAGAGGAAGAAAGAGAGGACACCCCAATGGATGAGGCTACCATGGAGTTCACAACCGCAATTGGTGGTATCAAACGTCCAGCGCTCGAGCAAGATGAGGTGTCAGACGGCAACGAGGACATGTCAATGGAGCTCACTACTGTTATGGGCGGAGTCCTGTCACAAAAGAAGCGGAAGAGCATAGCTGCTTCTCGAAGGCGTACGGTTAACCGTGTTGAAAATGAAAACGATGATGATGATGCCCCCATGGATATGACTCTTGCAGTCGGCCAGATCCTGTCAAAGCCTGGGACTGACCACCCAGAGGACAATGAGGATGCGGATGAGGATGAAGGTGATGCTACAATGGGTATGGATATGACCACCGCCATTGGGGGCATACTCAGCAAAGCGACAGGTGGCTCACGAAACCTGGGCAAGCGGGTTATGGAAGAGGAGGCTGATAGTGCAGACGGTCCTGATGATATACTTCAGGCCGCTATTAGCAAGAATGCAGTTGACGAACAAGCTAAACCAACAACGCCGAACGATAAGCAGACCAAGACACCAAGCCCCGGACCCTCAAGGACTCCAAGGAGTGCTCAACGAAGTATCACTGGTACTAAAATCTCAACTCCTCAAGCAAACTCCCGAACTTCTCGCACACCCTCACCTGCAAAAGCAACAACAACAACAACACCGCAGTCAACCAAGGCCAGAACACCAAAATCAACCAAACTAGCTACGCCTCAACTCGATTCGGTTGTATCAGAAAAGAATGCTACACCTCGCTCAGCTTCACCAAAGCGACCATCTTCTGTCAGAACGACAAGAGCTAGTTCAAGGACCCCATCGCCTGTCAAGTCCACTCCCAAGCAAGGTCTTTTCCAGAATAATTTTAGAAACAACAACCGAACTCCGACAGTCATACTTACACCCCAACGAAGCTTGTCAGGAATTGGTGCTGACCGGGCTGGACTTGGGTCCCCACAGGTCGCTGCGCTTTTCGATCGACGAGGCTCTATTGGTGATACGGCTACAAATTTCGTGCCGGGGAAGCGTGGCGTCATGTTTGAAGACCCCAAGGAGATGACACAAGAGATCGATCGTGAGGCACAGGAGGAAGAAGATAAAGAAAACCGCAGAAAGATTCTCGAGAGGGAAGCTGACGGCGCTGAAGCCACACTTAACCTGCGAGAAATGATTGACAGCCTCAGCCCTAAGCGTAAGCCGCTCAGGGGTCGCAAGAGTCTTCATGTAGGAAGTGCCAAAGGCCTTCTCGGCAAGCGACCTAATGAACTTGACGACGACGAGGATGATCCTGAAGATAACGATGGTGTCAAAAGGCTCAAAGGTCACCAAGGAAGCCCAGTCAAGAACGTCAGACTTCAACAACCGCCCTCCAAAGAGGAGACGACGGGAAGATTGAATTATTCGTTCCGACAAAGCCTGCAACCAAACACTGCTACACCAACATTGTCTTCACCGGAGAAGCCCGATGCAGCAACCACGCCAAAGCATCAGGGGAGATTCAAGGAGGTTGCAGATGACAGGGTTGGCCACCAGGTGAATTTCGATGAAACCCCAATCAGAGATGCGGAGCAGCTGGAGGAGGAAGCAGAGGCAGAGGCCGACCAAGATGGAGATAGAATTCATCTTCAGGATTTCCTGAACATGACCTCTATTCGCTTCATGGAGCTGACAACAACCAAGCGTCGTCACACGCAAGCTCCTGGAACCCTTGACAACGGATTCCTTGATGACGGTGAAGAGGACCTTTCCCTCGAACGTTGTGTTGTTGCTGGAGCTTGCACAGTGCCGATGCTTGAACTTTACCAGCACTCGTGCCGTGAGCTGAAGAAGTATATATCGGAAGGCCGACGAATTGTGAAGGAAATCGAGACCGACACGTTTGAGGAGAACCCGCCTCTGTTCAAGGAGTACATGGCAGCCACACCTGAGATCAAGACTCTGATGGACAAGCAGTTTATGAATGTCAAGAACCACGCTCGCTTGTTAAGCAAAGCCATGTGGTATGAATGGCGAATGAAACTGCAAGAGGGTTTGAAGGAAGGTCTTTCAGGAATTGACGATGGTATGGAAACCGACAAGGAGCTTCTGGATAAGCAGAAGAGTCTCCTTGATTCCGTGCTACCCCCCATTGTGGCTCGTTATAAGTCACTACTGGAAGAAAGAAACAATCTCGAGGAGGTCGCCCGGGAGCTTGCTGACTGTGACCCTGCCGATCTTGAGGCTGCTCGCGAGGAGCTGGCGTCTCTTGACGAGGACGTCGAATATAAGAAGAAGCGCATCGCAGAGCTAAGGGAACAGTTCCAAGCTTCAGAAGTGGAAGTCGAGGACTTGATCACCCAGAAGCAGAATTGCGTCGATGAAATCGCAGAGTCTGAGAAAATACGCGAAGAATGCCGTGGCTGGACGAGCACAGAGGTCAACAGTCTCAAAGGTAAGTCTTTATAAATCTACTCTAAGGCAGTGACTAACACAGTCTTAGCTCGAGTTGATTCCATCGAGAAGCAATGTGGCTGGTCAGTGACTGGCATATCTGGAACTGTCCTATCGATGGCCTACAGGCGTGAGATCGAGATCGTCTTTGATATCGCCGCGTTCCAGGAGCATCAACGGAACTCGACTATTGATCTCTGGTATATCGCCGATAACCGGGAGCAGAATGCACTTCCCAAGACAACAGAGAAGGAGTCCTTCTTACAGAGTATTCGAGATTACGTTCGTGCACTTCCTCATAGCCGCACTGAGGTTGCCCACCTCCTAAAAAGTGTCCAAAATGCCTGGGACAAGGCAAACCTCATCTCTTCGCAAGTTGTCCGACTAAACGCCACCTTTCCCACGACGGTGGAGAAAACATCCGACTCAAGTATAGCTATCACAACATCCCTGCTGCTCGTGCCTCTTGAGACTCGTCTTGAGATCAAGCTGGATCTCCAAGGCCAAAGCGGCGCCGAAGCACTAGACGTGATGATTGCACCTGATGCCAAGGTGGTGTATGGTGAACACTTTAACGTACCCAAAGTGACAGAATTTCTAACCACACGGATTGGCAAGTTTGTTGGGGCTGGAGAAGAGCAGTGGAGTGACGTGATGGTTGAATTGCACGGAAGACTAATTGCGAGAGGTCGCAAGGCAGGATAGTGCATGCAAACCAGTATAATGAGTGAT